CATCTACTTATTGTTCCTGTAACATTTTGTAATTGTCTCATTTATTGTTAAATGTCTCCCTTTCATAAACTTGTAAAGCACTGCAGAATAAGTTGGTTCTATATAAACACACACACAAAAAAAAAAAAAAAATAATAATAATAGTAATAGTGTAGCCTTTGGGATTTTTTCTGCCTTTTGACCTGATTGGGAATAACAGTCTGCTCATTCCTTCTTCTTTCCTATTTCTTCTTTCCTATGTTATCTCTTTTCTTTCTTCTTCTGGTATTGGCCTGGCTATTGTGATGTTGATTGACTACTCTCCTGCTTTCGAACACTGAGATTGTTTATTGGTCATTTCCCTGTGTCTCTGGTGTTTACTTACTGGAGCCTGTCTCACTGGTACCTACTAGATAATCTGCTATTCTGGTTCATATACTTCTCTTGTATCAATACACAAAAATTCAATAACACATGTTAATTACTAAAAAAAACACACACAGTCAATATAAGCCTTTTAAAGGCCATGTACACATCATTTGCTCTGAACCTATCTCCTGCAATCTGTTCAGTGATCTTTTGTGGGGACACATATAAAATACATTAGTAAAATCTATATAGAACAAATCCAATAACACACTGATCTATATTTTCTTATCTCTTAATTGAATTTAGTTAGAAATTAGATTCAAATGATTCGCTCATAAAAACATGTTGATTACCTACTAATGACATTGTTTTTTTTCAAAATGTATTCCTTAAATGATTATACTGTGTCCAACTTGCACAGGGGAACGGGAACTGTGTGTAGATATTTACTTCCAGTTAATGGCATACAATGTGCAGTATGATTGCTCTCAAGCAAAGTACTGGAAACAGCATTGCTTTCTAGCTGGTAGCACTCCCCATAAACTTTAAACTCCATGATCCTAACCAGGATGGTAGTTGCTGGTGTGAGAAGCCCATGGCATCTTTATTCACATCTGATGGGTCTGTTTGTTCATTAAACACTACTGGTGGGTGCAGCACACACACATAATTTGAAATGGTTTTCCAAAGCACTTCCCCCTCTCCTGCCTGCCCTATTCCTATTACACCATACAACAACTCCAAGCTCAACTTATAACAGATCATGTATCATCAATATTCTTAAATGGACACTCTAAGTACCAAAACCACTTAATTGACCCTGTCCCTTTTCAGAAAAGGTAAAGCACTGCCCTACTGGTGCTGCCTCATGGAAAACTACAAAGATCAAAGGTTTGGCACAAGCACACCCAGCATGTTGATCTCAAGCATGTCTAATGCTTCTCTATGATAATTTCCTGGTTTTTATATGTTAACTCTGTGAGAAGCATTGGATTGGACAAAAGTCATCATAACTAATAACTTTTTGGAGAAGGAGATTCATGCACTATGGAGACTATCCGGGCATTAGATTATAGGTATATTAGACAGACGTTAGACAGTAAATTACTAAGATGAAGGACCTGTGCTCTATGAAACAACTAATGTTTAATGTTATAGACATTATAGATGCAAGTGGACACAATGATCAACTGAATAATAACACTGATCACTTTATGTTCTCAATTAATGTCAGTAATATATCTTACACTGAGGTACTATATTTTCTTTCTACCACCCAATACTACCTCCCCACCCTGGACATCTAGTCATTCCAGACTTACAGGTCTGTATTGTGAATATTAGAAAGGGCTTCCTAAACCACAGCGTATTGAGACATTGTTTTGGAACACCATGACTCTAATCCTAAGCACTTAGAATTTTGTGCCATTGATAAAGTCAATGCAAATTGGAGGGAAGGGGATATTGCTAGGACCCTCAGTATACAAGAGTCTAAATGGATATTTGAGCTTCGTACATTAACTCCAAAAGGATTGAACATCGATTTTGAGATAAACAATATCTTGTAATATCCTTTCTTATTATTCTAAATAGATGTAGTCTTTTTAGGTTTTATTTTTATAATTATTATTAGATATTTTTATATATCTACTCTTACTGGGTGTTCCTCCTTTTCTCTCTTTTTTTCCTTTTATTCTTTTTATTTATATTTTTATATAATTTTTTTATTCTTTTGTGGGGTGCTTAACCCCTATGTTGAAATATATTATCTCTTTTTTGGATGTATATGTGTATCCATATTCTAACTAGAGATGTGCTTTTCTTATACTTATGTTTTTATTTCTGTGTGGGACTTTATACCTCTTTAAAAATGGCGTCTAGCCATCACCATATGAGTAGAGTTGAGCGAACCCGAACCGCAAAGTTCGGGTTCGTACCGAACATTACGGTTTTTGGACCCCGGACCTGAACACGGACATTTCAGTGTATGTTCGGGTTGGAGTTCAGTGTTCGGCGAATTAATGGCGCGTTTTGAAAGGCTGCTGGGCAGCCAATCAACAAGCGTTTGACTAATTTGCCCTTAGAAGCCATCACAGCCATGCCTACTAATGGCATGGCTGTGATTGGCCAGTGCAGCATGTGACCAAGCCTCTATATATAAGCTGGAGTCACGTAGCGCCACACGACACATGAGCTCTTATTAGTGCAGGGACAGGATGCTGCAGGTGAGAGGGACAGCTTAGGAAAGAATTCTGGTGTTGAATCTGCAAACTACAGCAATTATTTTAGTGGGTGCTATACTACATTTTTGTACCCTGCCCTGAGCCCAGTGCCACCGAGAGTGCAGTGCACTTGCAACTGCATGTGTGCCAGGCACATGACTTTAATCCTGTTCTGGTAGCTCAGTGGGCAGCATCTTGGCATTTGTAAATACTGCAGTTTTTTGGGTGCTAATTAGTGCATTTCTTGCAGTCTAATAAAACCCTTAAATACAACTGTTACATTGTTGGTTGAAAAAAATCACACTTTTTTGTGCTAAATAGTACATTTGCGTCCTTTGGTGCACTTCATATTTGAGAATCAAATAGAACCGTCAAATACCGTGCTTACAGCGCACTTTTGAAAATTCTAATTGTTTTGGGTGCAAATCCTAAATAGTACAGTTGTGTCCTGCGGTGCACTTCATATCTGAGAGTCAAATAGAACCGTCAAACACTGTACTTACAGCGCACTTTAAAAAATTCTAATTGTTTTGGGTGCTAACTAGAACATTTTCAGCCTGCACTTCATATCTGACAGTCAAATAGAACCGTCAAACACTGTGCTTACAGCGCACTTTTAAAAATTCTGATTGTTTTTGGTGCTAAATAGTACATTTGCGGCCTGTGGTGCACTTCATATCCAAGAGTCAAATAGAACCGTCAAACACTGTGCTTACAGTGCACTTTTAAAAATTCTAATTGTTTTGGGTGCTAATGCTAAATAGTACATATTTGCGGCCTGCGGTGCACTTCATATCTGAGAGTCAAATAGTCAAATAGAACCATCAAATACTATGCTTACAGCGCAGTTTGACCCATTTAAATTATTGGGGTGATCAAAAGTAAATTTGGGGTGTTCACTTCATAACTGAGAGTCAAATAGAACCGTCAAATACTGTGCTTTCAGCGCAGTTTGAACCATTCAAATTTTTGGGGTAAACTGTTTCCTGGATACATTTCTAAAACAATTCCCATATGTCCTTTGCAAAGTTTACATGCTGGAAAAACACAGGTGTCCACTGTCTGGGTGGTGGTCGGACGACCGGAACCCAGTATGCCTGATGTTAAAGTTAGGAGTCACAATGTGGAATGGATTAGCAGGGTCTGGTGCAGGGTAACCGCACGCCCCCTGGTGTTGAGCACCAGCGTTTGTGCGGCCACATACCAGGACCCTGATGCAGCTTCAGTAAAAAGAGTACTGGATACCAGAAGCCATCACCAGACTGATCTGCAACTTGGTGTTACGCTACTTGGGGTGATTTGGATTGGAACTCAACTGCAGCTTGTAAACTCCCTAATTACAATAATGAAGATACGGAGAAACTTTAAAGTATCAATACTGTAGCTTTAAGAAAAGAGAGAATCACTGGTAACTTGGTTCAACCGAAGTTTTAATAAGTGTTAAACTTAAATTAATTTTATTTAGGCAATAATCCAATAAGAAGAAGTGCAAGTAATCAACAACACAAAGTTCATTATTAAGTATTTCCTCAGAGATGCATTAAGTAACATTCTTTAAATTCATGAGAATAATCTTCAATAGAAACAATAAGCAAGTAGCTAAGAATATTTGCAGAGCAAGAACAGTTCATAGTGAATAAGCATGATGGGAGTTGACCTCCATATAATTAGTAGCTTGAAGCAATGAGTGTATTTGCAAAGCAAGAAACAGTTCATAGTGAATAAGCATGATGGGAGTTGTCCTCCATATAATTAGTAGCTTGAAGCAGTGAAGATTTGAGTAAGCAAGCATTAGTTCATTATTAAATGATAATGTAGACAAATAGCTGAAAGATATACTTAAGGTTAATATGTGTAGTCCTCCAATAGTTCAGAGATATGGTCCACTTGTAAAGTAGCAAAGTGTCCGTTCTCCAGTAATCCTTTATGGCATGCAGCAATCCATGCATTGGCTCAAAGGCTGGAACGGCTTGTCTGAGCTTGTGGAGAGGTAAGTCTGGTTGAAGTAGCTCCCAGTAGCTGAGCCTGTGGAGCCCGCGGTCTCGCGGAGGCAGCTCACACACAATCACCAAGCCCCCTCTCTCTGGCCCAGTCTCCCTAAATACCGTCAGAGCTGTGTCAGAGGGGGGCGGGGTCCGGCTCCTCCCAGCTGAGTGCCGAACCCGGAAGTGTTACTCCATGACACTTGGAACAGGATGTGACATTCACTGTAGCGGCTGTGCGCACTTTCGACGTTCTCACTCTGCTGCTGCTCGCCTGTCTGCGCTGCAGCGTAACATTGAGCAGCAGGCGATAGTGGAGTTTCAGCTGCAGCACGCACGGGTCAGTCGCTCTGCACCAGACTTGCAATCCAATTGATCCTAGTTGAAGGATTTCAAGTGGACTCATTACAATTACAGGGCCTCTAAAGAGTCCTGTATTGTCATTTGTCTTCACTACCTCCCCGTGTCGGGAGTGGGTATTTTGTGCGCCTGCTGCCTTCCTTGGATGTGGTAGCTGTTTCTCAAGATCCCTCTCCGGAATCGAACCCTGTTTCCCCGTCACCTGTGGTCACCATGGTAGGCGCAGAAAGTCCATCGAAAGTTGATAGGGCAGACATCCGAATGCGCCGTCGCCGTCATGGGGATGTGCGATTGGCCCAAGGTCCTCTAGAGTCATCAAAGTGCCTGTGCAACTATAATGTCTGCCTAACGGATCTTCACTAATAGGTAGGGCATGGAGGGGGGCCCTGTGCCGGTCCCTTCTCTTCCCCACTCTCTGGCAGACATCTGGCAGTACTGCCTCAGATCTTGAGAGATGCCTGGCCAGAAGAAGCTGTGGGTGAGCCGAGACGCTGTCCGGCTCCTGCCCAAATACCCTGCCAAGGGGATATCGTGAGCTAGCTTCAGCAGCTCATACCAATACTTCTTGGGTCTGGGGCTGGCAGTCTCTCACCAGCCGTGTCATTGGGGAGCCCATTGAAAAAGTGCTCTAGCATGACAAGCTGGGTGATCTCCTCCGGGAATTTGGCTTGATGGAAGTTGAGACAGTTCTGGGTGGCCCTTGTGATGCGGCATGCCCACTCTGCATGGGAGTCCTTCTCCCCTTTCCGGGTCTCCATAATCTTTCGGCGGTATTGCTCGGGGGTGACCACATACCAGGCCAGGAGGATTTGTGTAATAAAGGCATAGTCTCTGATCTGCTCTTCTGGTACAGCCCGGCAAATGTCCGCTGCCTTCCCCACTAGTTTGCTGGCTAGGATGGTGACCCAGTCACTGGGGTCCACGTCTTGGAGTAGGCACTGGCGCTCAGTCTTGTAAAAAGTCATTGATGCCTTCTTCTGCATCCTTGAACTCTTTGAAGGCGTTGTATGGTAGCTTGTGGGCCAGGGTGGTTGTGCTTCCCGACGCCCTCTTCTCCCTTCTTCCTTCATCTGGGTTCATGGAGGTCGCCCTCTGTCTATTGGCAAGGACATAGGCTTGTACCTCCAAAAAGGTCCTACTGACAATCTCCTCTGAGGGTGGCTCTCGGTAATATGCCAGGCGCCGTTCCACCTCCTTGCACACTTCCTCCTCATCTCTGGCCCCTGGCTAGGGTTCGTTGCCTCACTGCGTGCCTGGTCGTCCTCCATGAACGCAGCAGTCAATTCGGCCTAGTTACGCCCACCAGGTGTTATTCCTCTGTCTCCACACAAGTCCTGCAGTGTAGATCGCTTTAGAGCACTGTAGTCCACGGGTCTGTTGGCAGGGACATGGGATCCCGCCGCTTGCCACGAATTGAAGCGGGACCTGGGTAACCGATGGTTATCCCCTTTGATTAGAATAGGTCAGACTCATTTCCCCAGTAACCGGATGGGACACAGTTCCAGGATACAACGTTTGACAATCTTTATTTGGGTATACAGCTTTGCCTCATGTTGCCTCCTCCTCCGCTTCCTCCTCCTCTACCAGCTCCACCTTGCACATGCTGGAGAGACTGTGCAAGCAGCAGCAGGCGGTAGTGGAGTTTCAGCTGCAGCACGCACGGGTCAGTCGCTCTGCGGAACAGCACCACTTCACCACCAATGAGTGGGCCTCCATGCGAGACCTGTGTGCCATGTTGCGCTGTTTCGAGTACTCCACCAACATGGCCAGTGCTGATGACTATGTCTCCTTGAAAAAATGCTTTGGGAGATGATGGAAGAGGATGTGGCACAGGAGGAAGAGGAGTAGGAAGAGGGGTCATTTCCACGGTTATCAGGCCAGTCATTCACAAGTGGCTCGGAGGGTGGGTTCCTGCACCAGCATAGGCCAGGTACACAATTGTCCGGCATTTCCACACTGTCCCATGGAAGCGTTCAGCTGTCCATCTCCAAAACACTGGAGAGAAAGAGGAAGTACCCCCCTAGCCACCCGCAATCCCTGGCCCTGAATGCCAGCATTTCAAAATTCGTGGCCTTTGAAATGCTGTCATTACGTCTGGTGGAGACGGACAGTTTTAAAAACCTGATGGCGTTATTGGACTGCAAGAAATGCAATGCAGGCCGCAAATATGTCTTTCTTTTATATGTCCCAATATTTTGGGGGCTACCCCATTTAAAAAAAAAAACATAAACAAATAAAAAAATTAAAAATAGTGTTGACTACCTCTTTCTCCTCCACCGCCGCTTCCACCTACACCGCCTCCTCAACCTATGGGTCACTTAGTATAAACTATGTACACAATAGCAGAGGCTTGTGAAGGCCTTTTCTCAATGCATCAGGAGTTGAAAATACCCTGCACTCCAACCCTCTCTCAAATGGATAATTCTGGTGATCCTCCTGACAGCCATGCTTTAGATTTTGATTTATGTTCTTCCAAAGCTAAAATCAAAGATTCCATCTAGTGCTATTTTATGGCTCAGCTGTATTTTTTATTTTTATGTATTTTATGTTATTTTAAGTGATTTCCCTATCCACATTTGTTTGCAGGGCACTTGTCCCATTTTACTTCCTTGTGCAGCCCTATAGCCCTTACCAGTACTTTTTTAGAGGCATTTTAGTGCCCAAAAGTTCGGGTCCCTATTGACTTCAATGGGGTTTGGGTTCGGGGTCAAATTCGGGGTCAAGTTCGATCCAGAACCCGGACTTTTTTTCGAAGTTCCACCGAACCCGCCGAACCCAAACATCCAGGTGTCCGCTCAACTCTATATATGAGCCCTATCTGCATCTGTAGGAGGAGATGAGCCCTACTGGTATCTGTAGAAAAAATAAGAATGCAATCTACGATTGGTGAAAGCGGCGAAACTGGAAGAATTGCGTCAGAGGAAAAGACGTGACGAAGGATGAAACTGAAAGTCCACACGTCACAGGAAGTGATGCGATGCATACATATACGATTTTATATATACCCTGGGGGAAGAGACACAAATATGCCTTCAGTGATATTGTGATGTCTCTATTCCGGTGGGATCTTTCTATATTGATTTTTTATACTGTTTTTTGTTTTATACTGTTGTATATTTAAAGGAATTCCAAACCACCAATATGGAGGCTATACACGTCTGGACAGGAAATACCGCCATATTGGGGGTGGTGGATATACATCCGGTTCAGACCATATATGGAAATGGGTGTATCCCAGAACTAGAATGTGTTAGAAATTATGTTTGATTGATTAATTGATACTAAAACATATATAAGCATGTTTGCTTCCAGTATAACATTCAGCAACTGTGTAAATCCTACTACAACTGTGGGACCCATCCTATGGAGGAAAGCTGTTTACATAAATGCTGTATAAGTCCAGAGCCAACTTTAATGGGCTCAAAAAATTGTGAGTGTATCGAGTTCTAAATCTCTTTTCACCTAACACTCATACAGATTACTCTATGTTGTGTTATGTTTGTATTTCTCTATAGGAAAACCATAATACATTTTACCAAGTGTGCTGTGTATTTAAGGTAATATTTCTTTCATTTTGTGTGCGCTTTCACCTTATACCTTTGGACTGTATTGTGATTATTTTCCCTTTGGTAACTATAGGCAACAGAAAAAACATTAAAATAACATTATGGAAATTCTAATTTTTGTAGCATTTCTTTGGGGCAGAAATCTTTGAATGTCTTAAATTAGTGTTAACTTTAGTTAAAACAATATCCCACTAGAACTGAAGTCTGTAGGTTGAGTTGGACAATCAATAGTCATTCAATTTTCTGTTCACCTAACTCTTTTTTGTGGAGACAACAATTTGATTCACTTTAAACGTTTGATGGACCATTTCAAACAAAAATTGGAATTCTTGTATCTTGTTTCAGTGATTGTGGGTAAACAATTCATAATATAAGCAGTATTTCAGTACTTTGTAGTTGTTATTTCTAGAGTTGAGCGAACCCGAACTTGTACCAAACATTACGATTTTTTGACCCCAAACTCAAGCCCGGACATTTCAGTAACGGTTCGGGTTCGGTGTTTGGCGATTTAATGGCACGTTTTGAAAAGCTGCAGGGCAGCCAATCAATAAGAGTTAGACTTTTGTGCCCTTAGAAGCCATCACAGCCATGCCTACTAATGGCATGGCTGTGATTGGCCAGTGCAGCATGTGACCAAGCCTCTATTTATAAGCTGGAGTCACGTAGCGCCACACGACACTTGAGCTCTTATTAGTGCAGGGACAGGATGCTGCAGGTGAGAGGGACAGCTTAGGAAAGAATTCTGGTGTTGAATTTTTTAAACCGGGGCGCCCCTCCCGAGCCCCCACCGTGATGTGCGAGTGGGGCCTTTTAATCTAAAGGGGGGATCTTTAGAGTAACCAGAGTGTTATGAGTCAAATTACACAGCGTGGGAAAATTCCAAAGAACTTTCCCACGTTGTGTAAAATGACACAGAGCACTCTGATTGGTGGATTTCAAGCCAACCAATCAGAGTGCTGTGACAGGTAAATGTAGAGACTTACCTGTCAGTCTCTTCATTTACCTGTCAGAGCACTCTGATTGGATGGCTTAAACCCACCAATCAGAGTGTTCTGAGCCTAATTGCAGGGCGGGATGAGGCATTATAAGCCTTCCCCTGCCCTGCAAAGCTCAGTCTACGCGGAGCCCTCCATGGGTGAAAATTGATTAAAAAAAATAGCGCCTTTTTTTTGTTTTTTTGTTTTTTTGTTTTTTTTGTGCGTCGGTTATTATGGATTTTTATTGGCCTTTTTTGGGGCTGAAAAAATAAGATTTTAGAAGAAAGCAAACATCAAATGGTAAGTTTTATTTTATTTTTACAGGTACTTAGTTAAAGGTCCCCCCTCATTATTTTTAGGGTGAGGGGGGTAGGTAGGGGTTAAATTTTTTTGGGAGTGGGGTGACTAGGGGTTTGGGGACCCTAGTCACCTGGGGGGTTAAATTTTTATTTAGGGCCCCCACTCGCCACTCAGGGGTGGGGGGGCCAGGGGGAAGTACAATAGGTCCCCTCCCTAATTGGTATTTAGGGAGCCCACCTACTGCTCAGGGGTGGGGGCCAGTGGGGAGGACATTAGGTCCCCCCCCTTATTCTAATTAAGGGCCCCCACCTACCGCTCAGGGGTGAGGGCCAGGGGGAGGACATTAGGTCTCCCCCTTATTCTAATTTAGGGCCCCCACCCGCCGCTCAGGTGTGGGGGCCAGGGGGTGGACAATAGGTCTCCCCCCATTATTTTACTTTAGGGCCCCCACCCGCTGCTCGGGATGGGGGCCGGGGAGGGAGGACAATAGGTCCCCCCCTTATTCGAATTTAGGGCCCCCTCCCGCCATTCAGGTTCCTTTTTTTTTT